TTGGTCTTAACCTTGTAACAGTTAGATTTTGTGCAAGTTATCTGTAAACTGGCATAATTCAGACATAGAAGTTTCTATACCTATTTTCATCTTGCTTTGCACAAATATAAAGAGAAAAACCAAAACCAAATCACCCACAGTAAGGTTTACTACAGGCTGCATCTTTTAAAAGCGTTGAAAAGCATTGTGAGCACGTCTTCACAGCTCATTGCACCCGTTGTACCTTTCAATTACTGCTGCAACTTCCCACCCACTCTGGAACTCAACTGAACCTCTCAGAACAAACAGAAATCAGCTGTAAGGTCCTATTCTGTTAGCAATCAGCTACATAACGGGTACAGCACATGCAAAGACATGATCAGCAATTAACCATACCTAGTGCTTTACAGAAAACAAAAAAAAAAGAAAATTAAATTCCAGTAGTCAGAGTAGTAGCAAAATGTTTATGAAAATTTAAAAAAACGAACAGTTGCAAGAGTCATAAAGGCTGTATGATGCTCAAGAGTCTCACTTTTGATAACCTATAAAAATTATTTGAAAGAACTTCATGAAATCCCTAGATTTTAGCAAGATTAGCAAGAGTACTGCTTTAATTTTTGTAGTTGCAGAAACTTTGACAAGGTACTCTATTTCAAACTTAGAGTGGCACTTGAGCATGTCTCACTTTTTGCAGCATTTCTGCATTGCTCAGGGCCAGCTGCATGGTGCTGATGCCCCTTCAGACACCACTTGTCATTTCTGCAAGCAATTCAGTAGTGTTCAATCCCCTCTCACAATAAAGATTGTACTCCTAGGTTATCATTTGTTTTGTCAGTCATCTAAGTGAAGCTGCAATGTTTAAATACACAGTAGTCACAGAGTGAGGAACCTTTAAAATTACTGGTAATAATATAGCTAAATATTTACATTAGAAAAAAGCCCCATAAAACTGTCTCCTGGAACATTTCCCAGGCTAAACAACAGTCTTTGCCAATACACCTGCAGCTTTTTGTAAGTAATTAAGAAACTTGAGCCAACACACTCAAAAAGCCTCAAAAAACCAAATGCAGGGGTTTCATTACATAAAAAAATACTACCCACTCTCAACAATTGATGTATGTATAATCGCAGCATTTTTGTCTTTTCTTCCTTTTATAAAGACTCAATTATTTACAACAGGTTATTTTGAAAGGAAATTTGAATTAAGAGAAACAATTAATTCTAAAATTAAGGGATAAATAAGTTTTGGTTATAGAAACTACTAATTACAGAACCTATACCTTGGATCGTGTTCAAAATGTTTGCCTCTTGATGCTAAACTTGATTATCTATAGGTTCATTAAGATATCAGCATTGCAACAAATTCTCCAAAAGGGAAACTTTCTTAATCACCTTCTTAGTTACCAGGGCTTCAAGCACACATAAATGTCTGTCACACCATAACTGGGGGCTTGAACAAGATGTGGAAGTTTGTATCTGTAAAGAATTTTAAATAATTCCATTTCAAACCATTTTTGGCTTCTTTTTCTGTAGTTCTGCAAACAACAAAAACAACAAGAAAAATTTAGTTAAAAATATACCGAAATTTCCTAATGAGAATGTGGGGTTGCCTTAAGTTTTAGGACTATATTACACACAAGACTTGAGGCCTCAGATTATTGTTATGTATTTCCTTCTGAAATATATAGAATTTGAGGTATCACTCTTAGAATATGCCACTATTTGTGTTATGACTGAAAATTAATTTTTTTTTATTCATATTCATGCAGAATACATCCTATACCCTAATATTTTAAGTCCACAGCCTACAAACCATCAAACAAATATTTAAATTTATGCATGAAAATAACCCCACTGAAGACCATAATACTGAGGATCAGAGCACCATCTGTAAAGTGCATTCATAGACTCCATAGCTCAAACACCCAGCAAAGGTTTGAAAGACAGTTTGGAATTTTGGCTTCCTTGCTGTTTCAACCAGAACAGCTACTATTTCAAGTATGCAGCCAAAGCCCAAACTACTCAGGAAGGTCCAATTTCACAAAATCGTTCACACAATTAATTTTCAATTGCAGAAATTCTTATAAAGAACAAGAAGGTGCACCAAGCAGCTGAAGCAAGCTATTGCGAAACATGAAAAAAACCCTCACACCTATTTACACATTACCATTACAGTATTTCCCCAGCAGTAATACAAATAATGACTTGGCATCAACTCACATTCAGGAAAATCTCTAATATATCCCACAGGTGTGCCAAGCAGAAAAGCAAGACCAGGCACTGGGTTTGTCAAATTGCTTCAACTGCTACCAGCAAAACATTGCACTTTTCCATCTCTAAAATAAACTTAAAAGATACAACCAAAGATCCGGGAAAGTGAAATTTCCCCTCCAACTAATCAGAGCCTGTCACTTTGGGTATTTTACTGCAAAACAAATTCCGCCAGTAGGAGGAAAACAAAATCCTTCTTCCCCAACAAATACACTTTGTAATCAGCCTATTGTAAGGTGTCAGAGAATTTCCAGTGTTCTCAGCTCACATTTGGGGTTTGTACACATGCACTTGTGCTTATGGCAAGAGGCTTGAAATTTCTCCTAAGTGTGAGGAAGATTAAGTTGAGGCTGAAGTTACAAAACAAAAAAAAAGGTAATGATATTTTTGCTAGTTCGCATCACAACAATGCAGGGAGAAAGTTCCAACTTGTTTAAATAATTGTCCCATGTATATAATCATTAGTAAACCTTTTCAATAGCATCTTTTTTCTACTTCAGAAGGGCTTTAGTTTGTCTTGAATGTTATAATGTCAGGTACTACCTAATCTCAGCAGGCTGGGTCACAGAACCACAACCGCTCACACTCACAGTGATTTCCCTGAGAGCAGCCTCACACCATTATAATGCATTTGAATACAGATTTATCAAGAATATATCTAGAATTATACACATACAATAAATTCAGCAGTGAAACCATGTTTTATAACATGCAGCATGGCAAAACAGTCAAGAAAATGTCCAAGCCCCAACCATTACCCACATCATTTGGAAGTCAGTAAGCCTTCTTTGATATGAGATATTCCAAAACGCTGTGGTAGAATTCAATTTTCTTTCAGCTTCTGGATGATATTTTGTGTCCCAAAATGCTGGTAATTTCATTTTTATTATAAAGTTCTATACTTTAAGAACTCTAAAGTTCATAGAAACAATGTCGTTTCTAAGTAATAATAACTAAATGCAACATTGGCTGTAGCAGCTGCATTTTAACAGTGGATGGCAGCAATCACCTCAGAAATTGTCTCCCTAAATGTTAGCTTACATCCTTATGTGTGAACCTTGTAGCATAATTCAACCAAAATAAAAATGTCTAAACAACAAAAACAGGGGGAAAAAATTGTCTTCAGTAAAGTACTTCAGGGAAGCATCTTTCTTAAATATCATACTTCCTGTCAAAACCCTGTCCTGTGCAGAATGAGTGTTCGTGTGTACACAGATGTATTTTTTTTTCCATTTTACCACAGTTTCAGACAATTTTATTTGGCTCAAAGAATGACTTCTATTTCAGATTGGAAAGTGTATATAGCAATACTTGGACGTAAGCTTTTAGGGAGATTTTCCTATTGGCTAAGAACTGCAAACTGTCGTTTGCTTAAAAAGTTCTGATAGAGATACAAAATAAAACAAAAGTTCTAATAGAGCTATAGAAATGATATTTTATATCTCTGTATTAAGTTTTTCCTGGTTTAACATACAAGTAGATTAAAACAAAATATGTACATTTAAATGCATAACAATAAAATATTTGTCCTCCCTTTGGAGGCTGTATTTAATGAACAGCTGCTAAAATCTAACTTCACATTGATGCTGAAGAGATGGCCAAAACAAACTGGAATCAAATAGTTCCAAGGGGAACTTGGAAGACGCTAACCTGTGTCTGGGATGGTATGAAAGGAGAGATATACTCCTTTGTACAACAGCTGGTCCGTATTGTCAGCTCCAGGCACACAAAAGTCAACAGCAGTCCCTGAGATAATTTTTAAGACCTAATCTTATCCTTCTTGTCTCTTTAACAGTTTGGGGGTGGGGGGGAGCTAAGTAAAAGTGTGCCCTCTATATTTTCCGAGCTATCAGAGCTAAAGATTTGGGGATGGGAGCTACACTTCTGTCTCCCGCCATCAAAAGGGATAAAGCTTGAATTTCTTTTTAAGTGAAATCCAAGCAGACAATACCAGAGCTGGCTGTGCCGAGTGTGTTACTCCAAGGTTTCCCCGCCAGCCGGGCGGGAGCCTCTGGCTGTGACCGCGGGGCCGAGAGCGGCCCGTCTGTGGGGCTGTGCCGGGCAATAAGGGCGATAAGGGCTGAGGGGAGCGCTCCCATTCTCCCGGGACACACACACAGGGACGAGAGGAGCCGAGGGGCGGAGAACGACCGAGAGGCGGGGATAGAGCGGCCGAGAGCCGGGGAGGCCGTGCCCTCCGGGCTGTGTGCGGCGCTGGGCCCCTCAGCACCAGAGTCAGGGAACTCGTGGGAAATGCAGCTCCTTGAGGGGTCCTGCGGAGAGTGACAGAGCTGATCACGGGACTGGAGCATCTCTCTTATGAGGAAGGGCTGAGGGAGCTGGGCCTGTACAGCCTCGGGAAGATACGACTGAGAAGGGACCTCATTAATGTGTATTAATACCTAAATAGGGAGCCAAGGCTCTGCTCGGTGGTGAAACTGACCCATAGGAAATTCTACCTGAATATGAGGAAGAATTTATTCTCTGTGCAGTGACTGCGCACTAGAACAGATTGCCCAGAAAGGGTGTGCAGTGTGGAGATACTCCAGGGCTGCCTGGGCGCGACGCTGGGCCGCGAGCAGCGGCCCGGCCCGGCTCGGGCAGGGCTGCCACAGCTGTCCCGCGGTGTCTCCGCCCTGGGGCTCTCAGGGGTCGGCCCCGCCCCCCTGAGGGGCGCTAAGGGGCCGGGCCGGGGGTGGGCCGGGCCGGGGGTGGGCTGGGCGGGGCCAGGGGCGGGGCGAGGCCGCCGGTGTTAGCCATGGCGGCGCGGCTGCGGGCGGGCGCTGCCTGGCGCTGTCGCGGGTCGATGACGCGGGAGGTCCCTGCGGCTTTTCCCGGTGTCGCTGTTCCCGGTGCGATGGGATTCCGCGCCCCGCGCTGATGGCGGCCTGCCGGACACAGCACGGCTCCGCGCCGGAGCCCACGGTGGATGAGTTCACCGTCCCCGCCGAGAAGAGCCGCCTCCTGGAGCGCAGCCGGGGCCGCATCGAGGGCTTGTTCGAGGTGCGGCTGGCCGTGCTGGGGGCGCAGGGGGACTGGCGGCCCGCGCTGCAGCCGCCCACCGCCAGTGCCAGGATCTGGGTGCAGCTGGTGGGCTGCAGGAAGGCCGTGAGCAGCGCCAAGGTACGGGCCCGGAGCGGGGCTGGGCGCTGGGGCCGCGGGCAGCGGGGTTTGTGTGCGGGGAGGCCCCGCCGGACCGGCACGGCCGGGGCCGCGGGTTGTAGGAAGAAAGGGTGGGGAAAAGCCGTGCCCCAGGAGGAAATAGAAACGGCGCTGCTTTGGTAGGTGGGTGTGTGCCTGGTGCCAGGGAGTCTCCGGCCGTGTTGACATAAGCGTAGGGAATAAAGCGTACCAGCTCAGCTGGGAAGTGCAAAGTTCATGAACACAGCGTTATGAAATAGTCCAGCCCGTAGCTTAGGGGCAGCACCGGTGAGGGGTGGGCCGACTTTTGTTTTAAAGCGAGGTTAAAATGTTTCGCTTTCCTTCTTCCGAAGTCAAGAAATTCCTCGGAGTTGTTTGGGCGTTGCCATGTTTTGCCTTACAGACTTCGCTTATTCTGTGGCATTTAGCAGCTCGTTTTAGGAAAGTACTCACTAAAGCTTAACGCAGCTAATATTTCTTTCACGTAAAAGTTGTCAGACCTGAACAGCTTCACCAGCCTCGAGCAGATAGTTCTCTTTTTAACCCAGCTCTAACGCGTTAGGAGAACTGTCTACACAGGTTGTGTCTCAGAAGGGACAACAGTTGCTGTGAAGTGTGTTCAGACGTGTTAAATACCTTGCACAACTAACCTTTGGGGGGGAGTTTCTCAGCTGTAATGCTGAAATTGATATTGCTTATTATGAACCTGGCAAGTACAGCTGTTTGAATCATGTGAGGGGAATTTTGGTGTGAGCAGTAGCTGAAGGTCCCTTTCAAGCCCAAAGTCTCGATATATGGGCGTTGGTCGGTCTGTTTGTTTAACTCTGCTTGGATGTTAGTAGGGATCCAGAGTATGTGTTTTGTGACTGATTTCAGACATGGCAGCCTGCTTTCAAAAACTTGACTCCTTAACTGAGTCGTGCACGTGTTCCTCAGCATGTAACACACTTCCTTACAATGAGTTGTAAAGAAAACACTATGAATATATAGGGGTTGAATTATTTGACTCTGAAATTTACTCTAAACCAATTTGCCTGGGCTCAGAGAATCCAGAAACTGTTACAGGTAGCTATTCTTCTCCAGGCATCTGCAGTGCAACTTCCCTTTTTTCCAGGAAATTAAAGCACAAGAAATAAATAGCACAAGACTTCAGTTCTCTAATTGCTGCCTTTCCTAACAAGATAAAAAAAAATGTTTTCTACTCTTAATATTTTAAAGGTTATGAAAAACTTGGTTTCTCTTACAGGTAGAACAGTTTTCAGACACGTGGAGGAATTATTGACTAGAAAGTACAAACAATTGCTTATCTTCTGTTGAAAGGTTTAGTGATAGCAATTTGTGTTTTAATTCATCAGTCACATACAATGTATACATTCTACACTGCTGCTTAGTTTAAAAAAAACATTCCTGTATGTAGAGTAACCTTTTCTCCAGTTATGTTATCTTGTTGCTCTGCAAAAGCAGTCATGAGTTGGGGGTGGAGAATAACCCTGTGGGTTTTGCTGCGGAAGCAGTTTGTTCTGATACACTCCTGAGGCAGCCTGCCTTGATACCCCTGATGATGTAACTCGAGGTGATAGGAAATGGTGTTACTATTCATTACCTTGTGTTGGTTCTCAGTTCCATTTGAAAGAATTAATGTTTGAGAGCAAATATAGATTATAAAATGTGGTATTCTTGGGATTCTGCAAATACAGTGACTGCAGCTTAGAAGCTGGTTTCACTATATCAAATAATTTTAAGCACAGAAAGGGGCAGCTTGGGAAAAATAATGCTATCTGAAAGAATAAATAGTGTACTATATTGACATAGTTTTGAACTCTTGACACATTTAAAACAAGGTAGTATAGTGAATTTACCTGTAGTGGCTTACAGGTGGCAGAAATAGCATAGGGATTTAATTTAACTTCAGGAACACGGAAGTATCTGGAGGGTTTTTCTCAGTAACAAAAATATAGGATGGCTACTGGTGTGATAAGCCTTAGGAAATGTACTTTGAAACTTTAATATAAAGTTCAGGTTTATGGACTAGGTAGACCTTTTGTGAAAGACATTTTTTAATGAAGAGTTCTCTTTGACCAAAGAATGGGGATGGGAAAATAAATCTATTCTGATAGTCTTTTAAACTGTTTTATCTAAAAATTAAGTTATCTTTTACTATCAGGTATAAAGAAGAGAATATAAAAGAGAGCCTTCAATGAGATCTATTTAAAAATCATTTTAGATATTAGTGTTTTACTTCTATTGTCCTGTTTACTGGCAGTGTTCACTTTCTCACAATACTTACGTAGTTTGCTTTCTTTTCTAATGTTTCTGTCCATTACTGAAATAATAAAAACCAACTGAACATACTGGGTTTTCACAACTATTCACTCTGCTCTCTTTCTTCTCTTAGGAGTACATCAAGGGCCTGTGTGAACCTGAGCTAGAAGAAAAGGAGTACTACCCAAAGGACATGCACTGCATCTTTGTTGGTGCGCAGAGCCTGTTTCTCAACAGTCTTATTCAGGATACGTGTGCTGATGTAACCGTGCTGGAAATGGGATTGCTCAGTATTAAGGGGTGTGCAGAAGCCGTTGTTATGGCTCAAAGTCATGTGCAGCAGTTTGTGAAGCTTTTTGAGAATAATGAAAGCTTATTAAATGACAATGAATCAGAGATTAAAAAGCAGTTCAGACAATTCGTAGAAGCACATGCAGATAAGTATACAATGGATTTACTGATTTTGCCTAGCGCACTAAAAAGAGAGCTCTTAACTCTCACCCAAAGTGATGTTTCTGAAGGGGAGATGGAAATCATAGATCTCACAGGCTCTGGAAGCCCACAGCAGCTTGAACAGAACAGCACCTCCAAAGTTGTTGCTGCAAACAGAGATGGAAGGGCAGTTGGGGAGGAAGCAAGAAGCAATGCTGGCACACCTGTAACTGAGCTTACAAAGCAAATGGACACTGTGTTTTCTGATCCTCCTGACACAAGATTTGTTCCCATAAAGGACCCTTTGTTAGAGGCAGTGGCCTTTAAAGAGAGGCAGTCATGTAAAAGAAGGTCTTCTGATGAGGAGGAAAGGCTCCCTAAAAAGCATTTCTCTTTGGAAAATGATCAGAAAGTGAAATCTGCTTTAGACAAGAATCCTTCAGACCCTGATGCAGTTATTGATCTGGTTTTGGATAGCTGCAATGAATCAGATGGTCCTACTTACTGCCTTAAAGAAGGTGATGCTCTCACTGAGGAAATGGAATATAAGATTCTTGTGAACTTTTTCAGAACAATGGGATATTCCCAAAATATTGTAGAAAAAGTTATCGGTATCCTAGGACAATCTGTGGAACCATTAATATTGCTAGAAGAAATTGAAAAGGAAAATTTAAAGTTTAAAAAAGAACATGAACAGTCGTCTCAAAAGCCTAGAACTTTTCCTTTAGGAAATAATGTAAATAATTCACAAAACCTAGAAGACAAGGGCATTTCTAGGAACAAAAGTCCACTTAAATCCAGCCATACTTCAAAGGAGACAAAAAATGAGTATCACAAAATAAGAGGTGCTCCAGACACACAAGTTGGTGCAGAAGATAAAATGCATCGATTAGTATGCAAATCTTCTTCCCCTCCCAGCAAAAATTCAGGTCTGTGTCATAAACAAAGAGATGTTTATGGTCCTGGTAAGAATTACAGCTCAAGGTCAAACAATATAGAAACTGATGGTGAGGTAACTTTCAGCACTGTGCAAGCTGGAGCTCTAAAGGATGTTGGCTTTATAGCCAGAGGGAGCTCAGATATACAGCATATCTCAAGTAAGAGTAAAAGTGCATTTCAGCAAAAATCTGTAGGGCCCTCAACTGTACAGGACAGCCACCCTGTTTCTGAGGAGCAGCTGGGACACTGCAGCTCTTCTCAAGTGAGGCCTCTCCACCAGCGCCTTTCTCAAACCTCACATTGTGACAATCCTGTCCCAGACCGGTTACTGTCCTCACAAAAACACTCCTCAAATGCAGACAGAGACACTGTGGGACCACATCCAGATCATTCAGTTACTGGAGTTCAAAGATTTTTGGACTCTCTGAAGAAGCCATACAAACTGGAGTTGATAAATGAACCTGGAAAACCGTATTTAAAACATATAATTATTGATGGAAGTAATGTTGCAATTTCGTAAGTATTGTTCTTTTCAGCTATCCCTTTATGAACAGTTAATGAAATTTCAGATTAAATGGGGGCTAAGAGGTTGCAGTGGCATGTGTTAAGGTTTTGCTAGCTAGGGTTTTGGCGTGCCTGTACACACAGTTGTGCCATTTCAGAGTAACCTGATTTGAATCATCAGTGTTCAGCTCAATATAACACTTCAGTCAGAAGTAATCTCAGGGCAAACTTTGCTCTGTTGCAGTCAGTGTTATGCATGAAGTTTAATTTGCTTTTCCAGTGCCTAACAACAAGGTTAAGTTATTGTCAACTTAAGTGGTTTGGGGATTTTTGTGCTCTTAACATCTTGTAGTTTTAAAGTGGAGGTTCTCATCTAGTAGTGACATATTTCTCCTCTGACAGCATTGCGTATTAGTGCTTGGATCCTGTTTTTTTTTACCAGTGTATATATGTATATTTACCAACTACAAATGTGCATTACTGAGGTTCCATTATTTCCTTCATGCACCCCAGTGGATTGACATGCACACCATGTCTGCACACACCCCACATTAGAGTAGGGCATAGTAGCTGGGTGCAGTTGACATACAGTCCTCTAAAAGGTTATGTAACACCCAGTGCCTTCTACCCAACCAAATGAAAACTGGTTATGAAATGTAAAAGACAGAGCTGCCTCAAAATAGCAGAACCATCGAGATATTCGAATATCCTACTAAATAATCAATGCTTGGGGGCCTGTTGGTTTGATCATGTAACTATTCTGCAGCTTCCCTCTGGCTAAATAAAGCCTCATTAGTTTCTTGCATTTCATAAAGTTTGCTGTTTGAAAAATTGCTTTGAATTGCTCTCAGTTTTACTTCTCAGTAACTCAAGAACTGCTTCCATGCCTGTGCTAGTTCAGGGCGCTTCTGGCCCTCTTTTTTGATGGGGGTGTGGATATTAATGCATCGCTCACATGCTTAGACTAATGCTATATGGGTTTCTGAATCACTGCTTGCCTCATGCAAAAGCTGTAGAATTGCAGGGATTGCAATGCAGGGTTGGCCTGTTGTTACACATTGTCTCAGGGTGCTTGTGGAATAAGAAAACACCTGGCTTACCCTAGCTGCTAGCAAATTTTTTTTAATTACCTGGTTTTGTATGCTGAAAACAGGCTTTTTGAGGGCAAACTGCAATATCCAGTTGTTGGGTAATTTAAATTTTATTAAAATGTGGAAGAAGCTCAGAAAGAAAGTATAATTGAATGGAATTATATCTTCCTAGAATAGTTTGTTAATATGTATTTGTGTGGTGCATCCAATCAGAAGCATCAGGTGCCCAAACAAGGTGGGAAACAAAAGGTAGTCAATTATCCTTTGAAGCCTTGATAAACTATTTACCTGAATCATAGCCCATGTGGAGGTGCACCATTGTTCCTACACTTGGGGGGAAAAAAGCCCAGGAGTTACTGAGTTGAGTTGTGGCCGGGGGAAACTTACTGCTGGCCAAAGTCAGTCATCCTGTGGATCTGTAGCCAGCAGTCCTGAGTGAGGCTCTTTGAGCTCTTCTGGGGCTCAGCAGCACCTGCCTTGAGTGGGACACCGCTCAGAGCTCACAAATCCTCACCTTGGTGATACTGAGAGGAGTGTTCCTGGCGACAGAGCTCACACTTATACACACTTCCTCATATCTCAGGAAGGTCTCCACACTTCCTGAGGTATGACCCTTACCTGTTGGGAAATGCAAAGGGACTTGGTGTGAGCGTTTCACTGACACTGAGTGGATTTTTTTGATAAATATCTTTTGGCACAGAGAATTAGGTGTTCACATTGTGTACCTCTGTGTGTGTGAATTGATCATGGTATGAATGTTACTGCCTCAAATCTACAGTTAAGTCGTTACAGCTATAGCGAGCCCTTTGGAAGTGCTTTGTAAATGTTAAAGTACTCAATGATTAAGTGCTGCGAAACCCTTCTGCAACCTTCTCTTTGCATCCATGTGCTTTGCACCCTCACCCCCTTCTGCATTCCTGCCTTCTGTGTAAATCAGTCCAAACTTTATTCCAGTTTGATCTTTGTATGCCTTAACTTGTGCAGCAAATAATGAACTATGAACTTGCTCTTCACAAGTTCACAAGAGTGAATGTTGCCACCAAACTCTGTGAAGTCATATTTTCACAAATTCATATCAAACCCTGCCTTTGGCAATACCTTTGACAGTGTTTCTTTAAGCAGCCAAACCACTCATTTGCGACAGTATTTACTTTCGTTACAAACCAAAGAGAAACTGTTACATGTCCCAGAAGGCAATCTGCTCTTTGCTGATTTGTGCTGCTTATGATCATCTTTTGTTTAATTTAGGAAATACCTTTGTAGGGTCTTCACAGGATTTTAAAGAACTGGGACAGGCAAAACCAGCATTTGCAAAGGCATTTGGAGAACAGATGCAGTCTTTGAGATGGATATCTTGAAAATACCATCTTGCTGTAGTGATTTGCTGTGCCTTCAGGTGTTCATCTAACTCAGTTAAAGCATTTCATATTTAATTTAGTTTAGCAGTGACATATTTTTTCATATTATAGTTTACATTCATTCTACATGTTATTTGATGAAGTTGCTTCTATCTGCATGCTTTTTTAAGTTGTAGCAAAGCAAGATTTTGTGATCACTCAGGACAAATCAGGAGCTGCTAAGCTTCAAAACACTTAAAAAACAATACACTGTGTAGTTCAGCCAGCTTGCAGCTCTAAAACAGGAGGATGGACAAGCAGAGAAAGCATAAATTTCAACATGAATATTGAGACCTGTGCATTTCTTGAAGTCCGGTTGAAAGTCATTAATTAACTGGAAATATTTAAGAGTTTTCCAACTTAATGAATAGGATGCCTAACTTAAATTAGTGGGATGATGACTGCATTTCAAGTTTGTCCCAGAAGGTTTAGAAAGAGTAACTTTTCTCTGAAAATTTTATTTGACTGTTCTTGACTCCAAGAATGCTTAATTTTATTAAGGGCAAGTGTGGCATAGTATTTTTTTTCCTCTCAAAATTCTGTTAGTAAGGTAGATTTTTTTGCCTTTTATATTTCAGATATAGCTTATTTGTTTTTCTGCCTTTCTACATAAAGAATCCTCTCCAAATTCAGAGAACCTTAATAGATTTAAATTTTGATAAATGTATTTTTTAAAGAATCTACAAAACTGGAAAAGGATAAATGAGTGCTACAAAAGGCTGATTTTCACTATAAAATATTTCCATGGAAATCTTTTAAAGACCATTATGTTGGGAAGATTTCTTGGTAGATTAAACTAGGGTTTAAAGATAAGATTCTGTTCAAAACTAAAAGGGCTTACTATTAGGGTTAATAATATGCACTTGCCTATTATTTGGGAGATTGGTTTAAAAAAAGAATACCACTTGCTCAGTTATTTTTAAAAGTACTTTAGTGATCTGACATCTAACTCAAAACATAGTTTATACACTGTTTTTCATTAAATGCTTTGGCTGTTCATGCCATCAGTGCTCAATCAGTGTATCTTTTCTAGGGAATCATATCTTTGTTTTGTCTAAGTGTAGCCTCTATGAAAATTCTGGAGCCTGGTTAGACAGTTAATTGTGCCATGTGTGAAATGGGCAAATAGCATCATTGGGATAATTCCAGTTGGGAAAGTGCTCACAAGGTCATCAATTCAAATCTTTGTGTCCCCTCATTTGAGGCAATTCCTGGTTTTCTGGAAAGTCACTTAAGTGAGTTAAAAAAATCATGAACATCGTATATTTTTAAATAGAGAAAAAAGATTAATGCCAGAATACAACGTTTTGAAAATATTTCTTCAAAGAAATTTCATTATTTTGCTTCAGAACAATGTTTGGACTGTTGAAATGAAGGGAGAGGAGGCCCTAATAATTATCAGAGGGCTGTTCAGATGTAATCCTTGGTAATCAGTTGAACCAAAAGTGTTCTATTTTGTAGTAGGACTGTATTTGGAACTACTACAATATTGGATTGTTATAGTTCTAATCTACACTCAGTAGAGTTCAGAAACCATCATGGGCCTCTTTTTTTAAAAGGTTAAACCCACTTATGATTATTCCATTGTTGGTAGGACCAGGAAGCTGAAAGGAGATTGAGCTATAAAGTTGCAAAGTGATGTATCTGTTCTCTTCTTTTGCTGAAGAGCTCTTTCCATTTAGAAGATTCCTCATCTGTAACACCCATCTGCCTTTTCTTTTCCAGACGCTCTATGTGGGACTTTCAACTTCACTTTGCAAGGTTTTGTTCCATTTTCTTTGTTTTCCTGGTAGTAAAACTCTAGTGAATTTAATCTCCCTACTTTTTCTTTCACCCTCAGTCATGGTCTAAGGAAATTCTTCTCCTGTCGAGGAATCGCAATAGCTGTTGACTACTTTTGGAAACGTGGCCACAGAAATATTACTGTGTTTGTTCCACAGTGGAGAACGAGACGTGACCCTTCCATTACAGGTGAGGGACATTTCCTAATGTTTCCTTAATTAAACCAGATTGTAACTATTTCTTTGGGTTCTTCTGTGTAGAATAAATGGAGAAGGAATGTTTCATGAAATGTTGAGCAGGGCAGTCTGGCTGCTCAGCATGAGTAATTTGGTTTCCATACACAGTGTGAGAAACCCTGAAATGCTGTTTAGGCTAACAGGTCTGCCATCAGTGGAGGCCTTTTTGGGTTGGTTTTTGTGTGCCCTTTGATTTCTAGGTTTGACCTCTTCTCCATTTTTATAGTATGAGCAATTCTTCAGCTATCAATGTCATTTCTATAGCTTAATTGGTACAAAAATATCTCATTCTCTCTGCTAATTATATCTCAAACTAATTGTCAAATCATGTTTTAACAGAGCAGAATTTCTTAACGCAGCTCGAGGATGTTGGAATATTGTCTTTAACCCCTGCAAGGATGGTTTTAGGAGCAAGAATTGCTGCTCATGATGACAGGTACAGAATATACATAGTTTTAAAATATTTTTAAACATCTAATGGTTGTAAAAGCTTGATATTTCATGAGCAGTTCTATTAGCTAGTTCTAAAACCTCTGTAGACAGAGCTATGCCTCCAACTCAAGACTGAGTTCTACATCTGTTACATCATTTCACTATTGTAGGAAACACTACTGCCTATTCAGAAAGTCATGGAGAGCTAGAAACTTTCATGGCAATTAAAAAAAAAAAAAAAAAAAAAAGGCAGTCTGAAGAAATTAATCTTCCAGTAATGTTTTAATGCTTTCCTGGTCATCACCCTACCTGTGAATTGCCTTTTAGGCTTGGGGCATAAATCAGCTACTGATCAGGTATTATTTAGCTCCATTTTTATTGGCACATGTTGCCACATGGCTCCATGTTGGCACACAGACCTTGCTGTGTGTTTGGAACAGTGCATTTGTAACCATGTGTGAGCCAGTGAACTTCCAAGTTAATTTGACCACCAAGAATCAACTCCAAAATGCAGGAATCATCTGTCAGTGAACAAGACACAGTAAGCCTTAGTAATCTGTGTTGTGGGAGTTTCCTAATACTTCACTAATGTTTTATATACACCCAGCCTCTCATAAGAAATGATCTGGCAGTGCAGTTGGGACTACTGTGGAAATAAGTGTTATTATAACATATTTGCATTATTGTTAAAAGCATGCACTTTCCTTTAAAAGGACACCATCCATTATCTTGTGACTAAAATAGTTTAAAATGGAAAAAAATATATTTTCAGACATTATCACATTTTTTTATTTTATTTTATTATCACAAAAGCAAACATGTTTCTTTCTTAATAAATCAGTAGTAATGTTTTGCCATAATTTATTTAACAGGATTTTTAAGAAGTGTTGACAGAGCAAACAACTAACATGCAGAACACAGTCATTAATGCTAAACAAAAAAGTGTATGAAAATGACTTTGTGTTGGATTGTGTAATAAATACTGTACTATTCCATAAAGCAAGCCATTTACCTGTGCAGATATTTATTTGGGGGTTTTGCTTGTGTGGTTTGTTTGTTTTTTTTTTAATGGAGAAGAAATGAAGACACTGATGCACTAAATCATGCTACCCAAACTATTGTTGTAAGTTTGAGTAAAACCTGAGTAATTTCCTGATAATCAAGGTGCTTGTTTTCATGCAAATAGATTACTTTTGGATGATTAAATATTTAGTTTTCTAGATCTTTGGATTGTTTTCAGCAAAACAAACTATCTTAGTGATCTTTGAAATTAATTTTACAGGTTTTTATTACACCTTGCTGCTAAAACTGGAGGTGTTATTGTGACTAATGATAACTTCAGAGAATTTGTGACGGAATCATTTGCCTGGAGAGAAATTATTCAGAAAAGGTAATTGTTGAATTTCTGTGAAATTCTAAAAGGATGTCTGTCCTTGCAGTTGTAGGCACTCTACCCCCTTTGCTATCTTTAATTAATCTGTCATGCAGTTCTGGTAGATCCAAATAAAGTACTGTATGATTCACTGTGATGATTCATGGCTTTACAGTCATGTGTTGAGTAGTCTAATATCCCTGTTATTCATGTATTCTGTCTTGTATGTGTGTTAATGGCTCACATAAGCAGGAGCTCGGTGTAACAGCACATGTGTGTCACTTCTGAAGGTCAGTGTTAGATCTTGTTTGAGCAGTCCACTTTCACAGCCTTTCTTGTCTCAAAGCTCATTTTTTTTTCAGGGAGACACAATAGCTGATGAGGATGCACAGTGTCACTTCTAATTGTTCAGAATCAATCACTCTACTCAAGTGGGACTGATTGGCACAGATAAACAAAATGAACACTTGTAGTGTATGCATGTAACCATTTCCCTGTAATTGTTATTCGTTGGTTTTAGATGATTTCACTTAGTTATCAAATATCCCTGCTTCATCTTGTGGACATTGTTTCTGCTTGTTTCTTTGTTAGTTTCTTGAGTATGGGTGTTTGGGATTTTTTTTTTTCCATTTCAGTTAAATCAGGTTATTTGGGTTATTTTACTACTAAGGTGTGATCTGATAGTGAAATTTCCCACTAATCCTTCAGTGTCCCTGACATCTTCTGAGGGTACATTTGTTACAGTGGCTGGGACCAGTATAGCTCTAATTAAATAAGCAGCTAAAAACTTGCCCTGGATTCTCACAATATACCCACAAGACCATGGAGTTGATGCTGGATAATCATGTAGGCATATTTACATCATTTCTTGAGTGAATTTTACCCAAGTCAGGTTCCGTTCTCCCACAGAACTTTAGCAAGAATATTTGGCATGGCATCTCGAGACTGTGGTTTTTTAAGAGCTTATGTTAACATCTGCTGTTAGTTTTACTTCTGGGGAAATTCCACGGTACCAAATCTTCTCCTTGCAAACAAATTTCAGTTGAACTGTTTTTTTTTTTTTCAATGCAGATTTCTACCTGTCCCAAAGTGATTCCAGAAAAAAAGCTTTGTGTTTTAACTGTAAACATTTAATGCTCTATTTGCTAGTTGTGTGGCTTTCTGCTAACACAGGCATTTCAGCTACGTGCCTGAAGATCCGTTCAAGGAAGGGGATTTAGAACAACCAAAAAAATCTCTAGTCACCTAGAAAATTCCACTGTGGTCTTGTTGCAAATTTTCTGTCATAAAACAGTTGCTGTGCAAAAAAAAAACCAACTCTGTGTTCTGCAGTGTAATAGGGAGATATTTACTTTTGAATATAAATAGAAAATAAATATAAAGGGAAAAAAGATAATTTATGAAAGCTGACCAATAGGACCACTTTCAATAATTCCCATGGAATTATTTTAACAGGGAATGGTGGTTGTCTCTTAGCTGGGTTTACTAATTAATCTTCAGGGAGTCCTGATGTGGTGTCTACTCTAAGGAAATTCATCCTGTGCTACAAAGGTGAAGGACAGCAAAGGTGTAATACCTTGTTATTTAAAAGAACTCTCTTGCAGGTTGCTCCAGTACACTTTTGCTGGTGACATATTTATGGTTCCTGATGATCCTTTGGGAAGAAATGGACCCAGGTTAGATGACTTCCTTCGAAGTGAAGGCTGTTCTAGGTATAAACACTGTTTTCACTTTTGTTTGATACAGTTATTTCACATTTGAAATAAACTGTTCTGGTTCACTTACATACCTGTAAAGCACAGTGAGTTAAGCAGGAGCACTGTAGCATGTAGCAGTTTAACAAAACATTTTTCCTGTTACTTCAGTTGGTTCAGAAACTTCTGGTGACATTTGCCTCTAATCAAGATCTCTCTGAGAACCAAGATAAGTATGACAAAGCTTCTTCTGAAATTTGACTGTGGTGGCTTTCATGCACAGGTGTGTTAACAGCACCTAGAGGTGCCAGAGATGTGGGTATGTGTTGTTAGTTACACTGATGTTATCCAAGACACCTTGGTTGGTCACTTCTTCTTAGGGGGACAAACACTCTGCACTCGGGTTTTTTTGTCACAGGGGTGACACTTCATTTCATGGTTGAGGGTACCTTACTGTTGTCAAAACAATTTTTGAGGCATTGTTATTAAATGTTTGTATTTGAGTAATAATTATAAATATTAATGAACATATTGTTCATTTAGGATTAATGTACTTTTTAAATGTGTACATATTCAAAGTATGAATTGGCTTTGCATGAACTGCCAAGACTTGGAAATTTGTTTGCTCTTTTGCACAAGATAATAATGTGCTGTTCTTTCACCTGTTTAGGAATTAGAAATGCTAATAATTCTGAGGAGTATTGAGAGGCTTTTAAAAACAAGTGAGGTAACTTAAAAGTTGGTAATAGAAAAGGCAAGCTATGCTTACGGATTAATACCAAGAATAAGCAAGAATTCATGTATTGTAAACATTTGAGGAAAGTGGAACATTTTTATACCATAGATTACAAGCTGATTTGAAAATAAGTGTGTTGACATAAAGAAGCAAGTGGAGTGCTAGAACTCCAAAAAGAAATACTAAATATTCAAGCTCTTGTACAAAACCTTTGAGATGTTATTTGGAGCACTGTATTTTACCTGTGTCTGAGAGAAATAAAATTAAATCAGTGTTCTGAGGTAGGTGAGTGTGATGATTGTAGAAATGGAGTGTCTTTTGAGAAGACCACAGAAGAGCTTGCTTTCTAGGCTTTGGTGTCTAGTTTGGGGTTGGGTTTTTTGGGGGGCAGGGGCAGGAAAAACAGAGAAAAGCTGCCAGTGCAAAATGTTCCTTCCCTGTGCATTTTCCCAAAGTTTTGTTACTTCCCTGTGACTTTTTTACATGAGTTAAATGATGCATGAAGCACAAATGGCACCAGAACAAGATCGGAAACTGGAAGGATCTTCAGCACTCAGAAAACCTTTCAACGCTGAGTAACAGGAGATGTAGCAACCCGAATGCTTTTAAAATAGAGCTCTGTAATTTAGATACTGTTTCCCTTGGTGGTAGGAAACTAGACTGTAACATGAGTTCCACTTCACATTTCTCTGGTATCTGCTGGCATCTGAAGTAGAGTGAACTTTATAGTGCTAGCAGTGTATAGAGTAGCAAAACTTTTTGAAGTCTGAAATGAAATCTCAATAAGAGTATTCAAATCCTGAGATTGCCAAAATAACTTCATTGCCCCGTTAAGGATACCATACAAGGGAAACAAGGCCCTGATCTAAATATGAGCACACCTCAGTCAAGAGCAAAAGTACATGAGGAATAGTCTCATGAAGCAGTCTTGGAAGCTCCTTTGGTCTGTCAGCATTTTCACATGTTCCATGACAGTGTACATTTGTTCAATGTATTTTTTTATCTATACCTTCATAAAACAGTCTTTGACTGTTTCTCTAATCTGTCAAGTGAAGGAATCACATCATATTGAGGCTATTCCTGGGTGATACTAATGTTAGTTGTGCTAGATTTAAATCGAGAACTGCTACACCTCTTGTTTTGTTTCACTTTGAAAGAATGCTTGTCATTTGACTCCAGTCAGTAACTGACTGAGCAGCAGGAAAATTTGATTTATACACATTTGTCTTTTCTCTCTCATGTACAGCGAGAGCTACAGCTAGCATCTCCTTTAGCTTAATTAAAAATTTTTATTTTGTTCCACAGAGATTCTTGGTTAACACAAAAGGCTTTACAAAGCAGTGGACAATATTCTTCTGAGACACCATTTTTCCCCCCCGAAGTGAGCAGTAGCAGTCGACAGCCTGGAGGCAGAGTGCACAATGATCATTCATCCCCGAGGCTTCCATGGGAAGAAAACACAGAGCCTTGTCCAGCAATTCCACTACAGAGATCTGCCTCAGAAACAGTCCAGCTAAGAGAAGCCCTGATCAGAATTTTTCCTGACTATGATCAGAGGCAGAAGATTGATCGAATACTAGCTAATCATCCGTTCATGAGAGATCTTAATGCACTGTCTGCCATGGTGCTTGACTGAATGCTTTACACAGCTTTTATAGCACAACTGCTCTGACTAACAATTATCAATGTGAAGAAAAATATCACTCTTTTATGTTACTCTGTGAATATTAAAACCTAATTTTATTTGTATAAACAAAGATATTTTTGTGTATGTTCTGTTGCTAATAGATGCCAGGTATTGGCAAATTTAAAACTGCTGCTATTACAGATTTGTAATAATATTTTCTATGGAAAAAAACCCAAATCTTCTGCTTTACTTGAATTGCTTATTGAAACAGTGGGAGTACTCCCTTTTGAGCAGTGTTAGTACTTTTTCCAGAACCCTTTTCCTAGAAGGCAGAGTTCCCGTCAGTTGGAGACCAGCATGTGGGAGCAGCTGCCAGCAGGTGGCGGCCGTGGGCCCGTGAGGATCCCCGAGAAGGGCGTGAAAATCCAAGAAAATCCATTTGCTCTTTCAGGCTAGAAATAATGTACGGGGTAGTTAGAAGAGAAAGTATAAATTCACAGCTCTCATCGGGAGATGGTCTTTTGAGTGCTTTAAAGGATCTGAAAGCCACATGGTTTTTAAATTGTAAATTAACTTGGCCATCAGTATTCTTTCAGAACAGTTTTAGTATCTTTAACAATTGCATTTATACCTGTTTGTCTTGGCCTTGCCCATTCTAAGTGTGAATGGTGTGGTGTTAACAGAATGTGATGCTGTCTGTATATTTTTGTGTAGATCTACAGCTGCAGTCAGCTCCTCCCCTTTAGATCTTGTTCTGGGGTCTATCCCAAAAGTAAAGGGAAAAAGAGAAGATAATTTATGAAAGCTGACCAATAGGACCACTTTCAAGAGCAGAGCAAAGTTAGGATTGTCCGTATCTCTGTACACACTGACGTCTGTTACTCTTTCCTTTTAACCAGTCTCTGATGCCAGTTGTTCACATGAGTAAAATCAAATTGGCCTGTAAGGAAACATCAGCTTCTGCTGTACTGTGCCTTACCCTAAAGCATTAGTGGCTTTCTCTCCAGTTCCATGGGGTGTGAAATCACTCTTTGTTTATATGCAAAAGAGCTGAAATATGTTTTTTAAGAAAAGCTGAAATATGTTGTTTATATCCAAAAGAGGAACAGGGGGTTTTGACAGACTGTCTTTTTGCATGGCCCTTTTTGCATGGCTCTTTCATGTTTTGTGAAGTCAGAAACAGAAGAAAGTCTTACTCTTCCCTTAACACAAGCAACCCGAAAGAGAATTGCAGCAAGAACAAAAAAGTTGTAGGAACAGTTGTTACAGCTCCTCAAAAATACAGGTGATGATGAAGAAAGGCCTTCAATGTTTCTACATCCAAACAGACAAATCTTAATTATTTATTTTATATGAGTGGGAGATTTACTATTCAGGTGGGTAGAGTCCTTCTGACCAGCACCTGTTTGCCAAGAAGTAGTTCTCTACCTCTGAAGTGTTATGTAATCTCCAAGTTCTAACCCCATAAAATCTTAGGCAGGTTCCTAAAGCCTGGTATGATTTTAATAAATAGTAAGAGAATAAATCACCAGCTCCCTTGCAGTGCCTGGGGGGCCTGTCTACATGTGTGAACATGCTCCTTGAATAACTTGTCTTCTTTCCATTAGGTATAGCCCTGGTTGCATATGCTGTTTTCACTTTTTTAGGTGCTGGTGTGGGGATATAAATATATTGTAATTTTTATTTCAGAATCACAGAATAAGCTGAGTTGGAAGGGACCCACAAGGATCGTCCAGTCCAACTCTTGGCCCTGCACAGAACACTTCAACAATCCCACCCTGTGCCTGAGAGCATTGTCCAAACACTTCTTGAGTTCTGTCAGGCTTGGGGCTGTGCCCACTTGCCTGTTTAGTGCCCAACCCTCTCTGGGTGAAGAGCTTTTTTTCTGATCTAACCAAAATCACCCCAACTCGGCTTCAAGCCTCAGGTCCCATCACGAGAGCAAAAAGATTGGTATTCTTTCTTCTTTTGCTATTTCTTTCTCCAAAGTCTGTTTCTGAAGCTTGCCTTGTGCTATTCAACCTTTGGTTGCTGCAAAAACGCAACTAGAAGCAGTGTTTTGAGTGGAAAACAACAGGGACTTTCCCTTACATGTGAGTGATTCGGCATTTCCCTCTCCCTCCTTTTAAAACAGTAAAGTCCTGAGACTGATTCCTGGTGAGAAACCAAGTGCAGGATTTCTGGGACAAATACAACAATTTATTGTTAAAATGAGTGTTTTCTCCTACATTTTAAGAGCATGTAATGTAAACAATTTAATTCTAGTTGTAAACAAGCAAAGCTCAGATGAGTCCCAGTAGTGGGTGCTAGTGCTGCTGTTTTCCTTCTTGTTTTAGTGCCATATTAGGGTGGCTTGTGTTTTGGAAGAGCATTTCTGAACCAGAGAGAGAGTGCCTGTGAAAGTTCCATGACAAACAGTGACTCACACAGTGTCTTTCTAATACTGGCAGTGTTTCCTTCTGTTTTGCAAGCTTGCAGGCTGTGTTTGATATGAATGCCTTTCTTGCTAGAATTTTGTGTAGCTGCATTACATGCTATTTTTACATGTGGGCCTGGTTTATGTTCTGGATGGCTGTTTTATTGGAAAGGTTGTAGCTCTGCTATAATCCATGTAGAAGACCTGTTATTTTCATAAATACAGTTTAGAATAATAATGACTTTGCAGATTCCGAGACCTAATCTGCTGTCTGGTATTTGGAGGAGTCTGGTTATATAAGTAGGTGTTTCTCTCATGTGTTCAGTTTCTCTTTTTTATCACAGAACAGAAACCCAAGTGCCTTACAACAGTGTAACTCACGATGTTCAGGCTCTTCCTAGCCTTCCTGACTGCTACTGTTTGTACTCAATTTTGTACATAAATCTACCAGTTTTGTATATGTTGGTATGTGACTCTGTGCATACAGTGGAAATACTGCAGTGCTCAGCTAGATGGTGTAGACAATTACTTTTAAAAAACAGATGGATTTTAGATTTGTACATTTTTTACCTGTGTATTGTATGCATTTATGTTTAGAATGTGGTTCTGTTGTACTGTTCAAACTCTGCTGTGTGTGACAGTCCCAAGTTTTTGTTGTCTGTTTTGTGTCTCGCTAAGTTCTGTCAGATTGCATTAATTTTAAATTGCTAATTCAAAGGAAGCATTTTTTAAGAAGAAACTGGGTTTGAATGCATTGGGTCCCCTTTACAGTCTCCACTTGAGTATTTTTAACTGTTTCAGGAATGATATTTTAAACGTACATAAGAGAACTAAAATATTATATATTTTTAATTAAACAAAAACAACAGTCCAATGACATCAGAATTCTGCTGAAATGTATCAATTAGGTTTTCTTTTATTTTCATTTTTCACTAAGTAAAGGAATAATTGTGATTCAAATCCAAAGTATAATTTTTCTCCCTGGTTTTTGAATGAGCATGCAATATTCAAAGTATTGAGTCCTAGTATTCTTAATTTTAAGAAAAAAACTTTGCTGAGCAAAATATTAAGAGTCTATTCATCAAAAATAAAAGGCTGGCTTGCATGGGTTTTATACAGAAACACACGCCCTTCTAAGAACGGTAAAGGTGGATGCAAAGTGGGAATTGCAGCTGTTGGATTTCCCGGGGTTGTGTGGGTGTCGCGGTGCGGGCGGGGTCCCTGAGCTGTCCCCGCTGTCCCCGAGCTGTCCCCCCCGCTGTCCCCCCTGCTGTCCCCCCTGCTGTCCCCGAGCTCTCTCCCCGGCTGTCCCCCGCTGTCCCTGAGCTCTCCCCGCGCTGTCTCCCCCGCTGTACCCCCTGCTGTCCCCCGCTGTCCCCGCGGTGACGGGAGGTGGCGCCGCCGGTCTGAGGGCGCTCCGGCCCTGCCTGGGGGCAGAGCTCAGATTTTGTCGCGCTGGTGTTTCACTGGTGTCCTTGCTGCTGTGTGGGAGGCTCGACTTGCTTCTCGGCTCAGGGACCGTCCTCTGGCTTGCTGATAGTTTGTTTGATGGCACATGAAACCGGTGGTAATATATTTACCTTTGATATGAGTTCCTTGCATTCAGAACTGCGGCCAGAAGCCTGCTGTTTGAACAATTCTGATTGCCAGGAGTTAAGATATCGGCGCGCGAGAAATTATATTCAAAAAAAAAAATTTAAAAATTAAAAAAAAAAGTTAAAAAAATAAAGATAAAAGCCGAGACTCAGAAGTATTGCATTAAAAATCAGAGAAGGCACCACAGAGCCTCCGCTAAGAGCGTGAGGGCAGAGCTGGCTGCCGAGCACCCGGTGAGGGGTGAGGCAGGACGCGGAGGCAGAGCCGGAACCGCCCTTCCACGGGGGCAGTGACCGGGGAGCCCCCGGCCCTGAACCGCTCTGAAACCACTCGCACCGTGACTCCTTTCTTTCAGGAGCATCCCTGCAACCTGAATCCAAACAGACCCAGCTCAGCGGTGTGCTCTGCAGAGAAGGAAATTGGGAATATCTAAAAGGCAGAGCGTGAACGTCTGGGAATATTTTCTGTGAGGAGAAGGAAGAGGTACATTGTGGTTTATAAATACTTTGTGTGGGAGATCTTCACAGCAGAGGGCCTTGAATTAAAAGAGGCACATCAGAGCCTCTTTTAATTCAAAAGAGCCTTTTGCCAGATCTTCTGGCAGAACACCAAGAATATGGATAAGGGCATTCTTGATATTCTGAAGTGAAGGGGCATTAAAATAGTAATATTTGGCATTCATTGGGAATAAATTAATGTTTTCTGTCACAGTTGTAGCTATCCAAGGATTCTTTACATTAGGAAAACAGAACTTGCCATTTTTTAACTTTTAACCAAATTTTTTATTTCCTTGGCCTGTGTGCTTATCAGCTGCTCACACCTAATCTAAAGAGAAATTTCCTGGGCTGAATATAATTTACTGTGAAACATATAATGTCAACACACAGCTTCCCAATGTCCAAACTTATTTCCCTTCCAGACTTGAGCCAGAAGTTTTTTGTTGAGTAAATGTATAAGAAGATAGCACTAGAAATGAAACAGTTTAAGACAATACTAGGGTGATCATGAAATTAATTTGCAGAGTCTCTATCAACTCAGTGTGTACACATGATTGTTTTTGTATAAAACCATTCAATGCATTAATTTTGACTAAAAATAATTTAGGGCTCTGATTCATCAGCAGTAGATGTTGTAGTGGTCTAAAATGGGATTGGGGTGATTGCAGGAGATTCACTGCAGCTGCCCTTGCTGGATGCTGTGTGTTGGTTTCTCTGTTGTCACAGCTGGCACAGTGGTTTAAACTCTTGTAGGTCATGAGTCTGAGCCCTCAGTTCTCTGCTGTCAACAAAAATGCAGAGAAGATCTAGTAGCTAGATTGTTATCCTTTGTTTTACAGCATCCATCAAAGTCCTACTTTGTAAATGGAAATCAAATTAAGCTTTCCAATATTACAGCAGCTATGAGTCTTCCAAATGATGATGGATTGAAATAATTCATGCAAAAGCCCAGGATATCTCATCTATCCCATCTGGTGGATTTAGTCTCAGGGCCTTTCAGGGGCATTATTCAAATGTTTCTGGTAGGAGGTGAATGTAATTGCTGCTTGAGGAGCTATTTGGGAAGGGAGGCTATGATTTCTTTTAATATAATATTTAATTATATACAAATAATAAAGCAGCTTAAATAAGTTTGTAATGTTTCTGTAAAAATATTATAACCCTTTCTTTCTTTCTTTCCTCACTGATGGGCTCTTGCTTGTCTTTTATTTGTCTCATAATGCACCAATTGTGAGTGATGTATAGTGAAAAGGATTTAATGGGAGTCTTCCTTAAATTGAAGTATCTGCCCAGTGTTTAATCAGTGCTGTAGGAGCAGAGACAGAAATAGTCTGGTTCTTTTTTCCCCCATCTAAGGTATATGTGACACCTTCTTGTTACTAGGACTGCAGTTCAGCTGTGGTGGTTATGGATTAAATACTAGTGCTGCAAGCACATATTCTCTTCCTCCTATAAGGGGTAGGTGTACTTTGAAACAGTTTCATTAGCATATCTGCTAATGCTGTAAACATACAGAAACACAGGCAAGATGAATTCAGCTAAATTAAAGAAGACAGGCTGGTGGGCAAGGAGGAGCCTTGTTTGGTATCAAACAAACAGAGGCTGTGTGCCATTGTGATGCAAGAAAGTCAATAGTACTGCATCCTGCTATGAAAGTAGGAGTTTTTCTAGGTATGAAAAATTGAAGTTATGAATATTGGTTTCCAATTTCTTGCTGGGTGAAAAAAGCAGAAAATCTGTCCGTTAGAATCTTGTTTCAGATTATCTCATGGTCAGTGAATGCATGAGGGCTGCTCAGGTATCAATGTGCAGAAGGGTGGGGAATATGATCAGCAACATTCAGAGCTTTGAAGCACACTGGGTGAGTGTAGGGAGCAAGTTCCATACCATGAATAAAAATCTGACAGTCTAGTTGAAAACTGTGTTTATATTTCAGAAAAGACTCTGAGTTATAACAACTTATTAAAGTATCACAGGCAGTGTTACTGTCTCACTCTGCACAGACTCTAGTTGTGGAAAGGGCTGGGTATTGAGTCATATCCTACTGTAAAGTACAAATTCAACAGGCATAAAATTTTACACATTTGATCAAATAGAACATTTGATCTGAATTAAGAGCCTTTCTGAGGATTCTGTGTTCTACTAAGTGATTTGACACTCTAGGCTACTGAACAGTCTTGGAAATAG